TCTTTGTTCCTGTCTGTAGTCTCCCCATTTTAATCACGCATTGCTTTCATAACCAGAGAAAATAATAATAACTGCTTTAAAACCCTGCCCCTACAACCTACACCCTATACCAGTCTGTGCGGACCATTGTCTTCTAGGGCCCTGGAGAAAAACATAACGGAACTGGACTAGATCAGAGTTATACTGAGAGGATGACTCAGGTGTCTCCCTGAGTCCCCTGAAATGTCACGGGAGGCTGGATGAGACGAGGAAGTCCGAAAGGAAGAGTGTATTTCCCACCACTAACAACCCCAATAGAGGAGGTCAATAAGGGCACAGGTAAAATTTCTCATGAAACTCTCCACTGAAAACTGTAAGACAAGAAAGAGGTAATCGTGGTCATGTACAACAGCAACGAGCAACTGGAATTTGAAATTTAAAAAAAAAAACCACACCATAATCAATTTAATTCATAAAATATAAATAAAGCAGCATGGGCAAAGCACCTTAAGAAACAACTGAAGTGTTAAAATGTGACTGAACCAATTTCAACAGCCTCGACGCTCTCTCGATTTAGCACAGGTCCTCAATACAAATAAGAATTTCTTAAAGAGCACAAACACAGATGAAACGTAGTAACAAAAACAAGACTGCCAACCGAGGCCCCTGTTCTTCCCAGCAAGCCCTGGGATTAGAGAGCTGCTACGTTCTGAGACCTACTCCGTGTTGACGGCTTGTCATTCTTGTTCATCTATAGCTCGATTATTCTTTCTTTCTCTTCTTGAAATAAGAGGATTGCTGGCAGTTTCCAGGGTCTCTCTCCCTAGGTTTGTTGGGAAGTGAAGTGTGGCAGGGGGCTGTGATGGACCCTTCAGGCCCCGCTTTGGTCATGAAGGACCCATGCCCACATCTGCTAGTGGCTCTGAGTCACCTCCAGTACGAAAGTGGCACCTTGCACAAGCCACAGTCCCTCTTCTAGCTGCCTGTCTTAATACGTGATGGAGGTGGACTTCAGAAGCTAGGTCTAGTCTCCTCTCCTTAACTGGGAAACTCTGTGAGAGTGATGTCACTGTCCCAGGTCCTGCACGGCCTAGAGTCCCACCTCAATCTCTCCCATTGCAAATCCTTTTTTCCCTCCTTCCCTTCCACACGTGTGTGAGCAGGACATGCATCCCTCGCTAGATGTCCATTCCTAGCACGAGCTCAACATGCTGGAAAGAAAAGCACAGATCTGTGTGTTTCCTACTTTTTGTGGTTGTTGTTACCAAATACTTGAGAAGAAGCAATGTAAGGAGAGAAAAGGTTTATTCGGGCTCACAATTAAAAAAAAATAGCCCACGGTGGGGGAAGGAATATAGGAGTGTGAGGTGGTTGGTCACACCGCATCTACAGTGAAGCAGAACTGAATGCCTGCGGTCAGCTCATTCTCCCCCATTTTTTTCAGCCTGCAACCACAAGCTCATCTTATGTCACCGTCAACATTCAGGGTGGGTCTTCCTTCTTCCATTGAAACTCTGAAAAGACCCTCAGAGACATGCCCTGAGGTGTGTCTCTTAGGTGATTCTAAATCCAGTCAAACTGACAGTGAAAGTCCTTGGGTGGGCATTTGGCCCTCTGCCATGCTGACTTGACTGGGCATGGTTCTCAAAGCCTGGGTAGCCAATACCTCAGCAAGTAGGGCTGTGCCACCTTCCCCACACAGAGTGAGGAAGTGAATCCGGCGAACAAAGAGGGCCCTTCTGGAATCCCAGCAGGGGACATGTCTGAATTTGGGTAAGGCTTGGGGGAACCGGCAAGAGGCAGGGTGGCAGCTGCATGGCCCAGTTAAGTCCAATCCCCTGGAGCTGCCCAGTCCCTGGTACCATGATTGTACGGCGTTAATTAAATCATTCTCATTAATTCAGTCCGAGTGTAAATTAGGAACGAATGAAGACAGATTAGGTTTGAAGGCAGCTAATACATTTAACCCCATGCTGCTGATTTTGCAGCCTAACAAAATAACGTTGTTAAGAAAGATAACAAGGCCAAAGCCTTGGGCACAGGTTTTTAATAGCATTAAAACAAACAAAGAAAAAAAACCCCAAAAACCTGAGACCTTGGTTTAGTGTCCCAAGCCCAGGGGGGTTGGGTGGGGGGCCGCAGGACCAGGCTAGCACCGGAACCAAGCACTGGCTGTTGTACAAAGTACAGCAGCAGCAGCAGCAGCATCTCAACCGAGGTGCTACATCTCAGAGGTGTTACATCTCAGCTATCCGCTGTGTCCGTTGTGGTCCAGAGCAATCACAATCCTGTGGAGCGTTTTCTTCCTGTACATGTACAGGACTCGCCTTTGTTTCCTGTGAGCAGGGTGATAAGGGTGACTTTTACCACTGGCCAAAAGAGAGAGGCCATAAAAATTACATAATTTGAGTTTCCACGATCATAAATCCACTAACTTGCAAATCACCCTCAGCCTGGAGAAAGGCATTAGAAACTGCCTAGCAGGCTGAAGACTTTTCATACACTGGCTCAAGCCAATCATTATAGTCTGTGGTTCCTGTATCTTTCAGCATTTTCCAGTCTGTATAACCTACATAAACGAATTCCTGCTTTGCTTATCTTCCAGCAGCAGATGGAGGGAATGTATATGGTCATTTCAGGATTTTCCAGGCTGCAATTTTGTGTATTGTTTGAAGCACAGGAAGTGGCAACATTAGGCAGAAAAGATACACCGATAGACAACAGCCGGACTTACTCCTTTAGCCCTGCCTAAAAAGTGATCTTCACTGTTTCCTTGGCTTCCCACACTGCAGCTTCCAGGTAGGAGATGCCACAGAAATGATGACCTGTCCTTTGCCAGGTGGCTTCTCCTAGCAAAATCCCCAGCCAACCAGCTGAGGTATGTACGAATACTGCTGGGCAGCAGCATCTAGGGCAGTTCTAGATGGCTTGAGGAGAAAGCAAGGCATACTTTGTCAAAAGAGAAAATGTGCCGGGCAGTGGTGGCACACGCCTTTAATCCCAGCATTCTGGAGGCAGAGCCAAGCGGATCTCTCTGAGTTCGAGGCCAACATGGGCTACAGAGTGAGTTCCAGGAAAGGAGCAAAGCTACACAGAGAAACCCTGTCTCGAAAAACCAAAAAGACATTAACTGTTAGTGCCCCCAAACAACATATTTGTGTTTGACTCAAATCCAGGTCGATGAAAACAGAAAGGGGGCCAGGAGTTGGCCCTGGTGCCTCTCATTCCTGGCCACACGCTACAGAAACGTGTTTATAAACACATGTGCAGCAGCGACCCAATACCACCTTCCTTTATTCAATGCCCGTGTCTATCTGGTGTGTACAGTGTTTTCATTTGCTTTATGCTGGTTTTATTCTTTTCCTTGGGCACTAAGTTCTGCCTGCCTGGCTCGCGGCTGCCCTCAGGCCCTGTGCACCTGGTTCTCACCTTGAATCCATCGAGCTTTTCTGGCTTTGTAAAGCAAAACGGAGCCAAGACTCTGTATCAAAAATTAAAATAGGAAACAGATTTTTAAGAGGCTGTAGTGAGGCTGACGAGTTAATGCTAAGAAAGGACTTAAGAGGGCACTGTCTTTCTTTGCGATGAGCAAAATTTATCAGCCCGAATAATAGCAGAGAAAGCCAGAAGTGGAGCTGGGATGGGATGAAAAAAAAAAAAAAAAAAAAAAACCGACCGTACTGGTTACAGCAGTCTGTGGTCTCAGGAAGCGCCATGTGGAGCCTCCTTAGCCGATTTAAACCATTGTTACGCTTGGTGTTTTAAGGAAGACGAGGGGAAAAGCTTGGGGGAGTGGGGGCGGGGACAGGGTAAAGTCGATCTCCGGAGCCCTCACGTGACTGGGCCACTACTGGGGGGGTGCAGCTCTCCAGTCAGGCAGTTCACATCGCCCAAGACCTGTTTCTTCACCTGTGTAATAAAGGTTTGGATCAATCATCTATATAGCTCGTCCCTAGACTCTATCTCAAATGCTGAATAAAAGCCAACGCCAAGTGGCGTTTTAGCTCCCGGCCAAAAGACAAGCCCTTGGCACAAGAGTCAAGAGTGAGAGTCAGGAGCAGTGGTCGCCACGTGAATTTCTTTTTTTTTCCCCGGACAGCATTCCTTTCTTGCCAGACTCTCGAGGCGCGTGCGTGCGTGTGTGTGTGTGTGTGTGTGTGTGTGTGTGTGTGTGTGTGTCTACTTCTTGACTCAACTCCAAACACCACCAACCTACAAAGAGCAGGAAAGGCCAAGTCTCGGAAGGTGACCGAGACGTCTTCCTAAAAGGAGGCGGCGTGGCTGCTCCTTTGAATCTAGCGGCCTTGGCGATTGGTTGCGAAACACGTGGGCCCGCGGGACTGAGCCGGGCTTGCAGCGGCTCCAGCACCGCGTGGGTCAGAGTCCGGCCGGCCGCCGGTTCCTCACCAGCTTGGGGTGGGGTAGGGAGGGACAACACCCGGACAGAGCCTGGAGCTGGAGTCTGGCCCCCTGCCAGCAAGTAACCCTACGTCCCACTTGCGCAACCTGCAGTGACCACAGGGTCCCGACTTGGGCTTCTTCCCTTGCCCCCGTGGGTAATAGGTTCTGCCTGCCGCTGGGGTGTCCAGCCCAGTGAGTGGCTATGCGCCCCGGTGCCACGGAACCCCAGCTTGGCCTTGGACCACTAAACTGAGCATCCCGGGGGTCCTGGTACCACTGAGCCCACAGCCCAAGGCTGTTTTCCCTAGCGGGCTCCCCAGAACCCGAGCTAGAGCCTTGAATTAGGTTGGCCCAAAGAGGCGTACACCATCGGAGCCCCTCAAACTTCTTTTCTTCTGCACTCCCCGGGGGCTGCAGCTGCCCGTAGCTGAGCGAGGGCGTCCGCTTTGTCTCGGTGCACTCCCCGCCCCCCCTCCCCCCGCTTCCTCTCCCGATAACTCCCCCTACAGCTCTCCCCCCCCCCACCCCCCAGCAGCTCCACCCGCTCCCGCCCGCACCGCGGACGCGCTTCCTCCCTCCTCCCCCGAACGAGTCTCTTTGCATACGCGCCCCCTCCCGGGCGGGAGCGCAACTTATAGCCCGGTGCGCGGTGGCCCGGGCGCAGTCTGCTCCCGCAGCCTCTGAGCGAGTGCTACGGCGGAGGCGCTGCAGAGACCCAGAGCAGACGCCAGGCGGCCGCCGGCTCTCACACCGCAGCCTCGATCCCTCCCCCCCAGCTCGCAGCCCGCCTTCCTCCGCGGCGCGGCCGCCGCAGGCTCACTCTCCCCTGGCTAGGCGAGCGCCGGCAGACTCTCGGCCCGGCCGGGGCGCCAGGTCCGCAGCTGCAGATCCGGAGGCCGAGGCGAGCTGCCTGCCAGAGCCGATCCGGGAGCCACTACCCCCGGCGCTACCGCCTCTCCTCCCGGCACTCCTTTCTCCCGGCTGATCGCCGCCTCTTCCTGGGACTGAGACGCCCTCCGTCGGCTCCCTGCGGGTGACCGAGGCAAGAACCCCAGCCGGTTGTGTGCGGAGGCCAGTCGCCTACTGCTGTAAGTTTCCCCTGCAGCCCCAGACCTGTTGCGGGCTCCGGGATTTTTCAGGGGCGGGCCAGCCGCGGGTGTGCTTGCGAGCCACCAGCCGGCGCCGGCCACCCTGCCTGCCTGCCTGCCTGCGGCTTAAGCCCAGGAACTGCTCTCGAGGCAGAACTGTCGCTAGGGCAGGATCGCGCTGGGGGAACGACCTCCCTCCCCTCCGCGGTGTAACGCCCGGGCAAGTCTCAGGGACTGCGAGGAGCCAGGTTGGGAATAATAGCGTGCCGGCTTCCTGAAGCCCGCAGACAGCCCAGCGCGTGGGATCGGTTCCCCATGGTGCACTGTTGCCGGCTCCGGGGGACGGTGGGGGCCACGCGCAGACCTCCTCATGGGGGCATCTGATTGCAGCCGAATGAATGAAAACTGGTTCCTGAAAAACTAGTTTCTTCTCCTGCAAGCTTTTGCCTTTTCCAGTGACATTATTAATTTCAAAGGCCTAGGAATTGGTGGGCGGGGTGGAGATGAAACAGTGAACTTGGATGTGTAATTTGGTGTCGCCCTCAGTGGCATGTTCAGCGTGTTAAGTAGCGTTGCAAATGTTGTAGGGGACCGTGTGGCGAAGGGCTATTTTTGTAAACATCTTTATGGTGTCGTTCCATTGTTGCCAATGATGTGAGTGCTTGAGATACATCTGCCTGGTTCCTTTTCTCGTGGGATTGAGATCAGGTTTAAAACCAGGAGAGACGGAGGTGCTCCAAGTGTGGGAGGCAGACAGCCTGCGTGGAAGCAACAGTAAGTGGACCGAAGTTACTGAACTAGGAGCCCTTTTGATGTTCACAGTAATAGTAGTCTTTTTCTCTGCCTTCTTTGTAGACGCAAGTTAAGTATATGTGTGCATTTTCTTGGCCATTTCCTTAGCATGCAAATTTATGTCTCTGGGGGCTTACGAAAATGTTGGAAAGAGTGATTAATTTAATGTTGAAGGTGTGTTTAGTAACTGCATAAATGATTTCTGTGGTTATTTTGCTGTTGGCATAATTCTAAACCAGAAAGCAAGTTATTTCCCTTGGGCCTTCATGTGTACCTTTTGTTTTAATCCTACATGGTTCCAAGATGATTGTGACAGTGACGTTCCTTTCCAGTGGGGATGGGATCCAAGATGACAGGGTAGGCTCTTCTTGCTTTCTGGGGAGACCTAGAAAATACAGCAGCGTAAACACAGGATTGCCGAGTGTTGCTGACTGTTGCGCATCTTGTATCCTAAGGTCTTCTGGACAAACTGTTTTCTTAAGTGGAAACCTAGTTGTGAATGTTGTTTTATGCCACCCTGACTCCTGTTAATGGACATGTGCTCTGGCCCAGTGGGATTCCAGCCCAGCCGCCAAGCACTTAGATGCTTATGTTCCTGTCTTGGCTCTTAGCCAGAGAGGAGGCAGCTTCCTGAGACTAGGCAATCTTTTAAAGGTTTAGGCTTAAAATCTTCTTCAAAATAACTCAACACTGAACGCATCCGTGTAAATGACATCCACAGGGGTAAAGCATGCAGGTGTCAAGTGCACGGGAGTCTGAACACTTCATACACTTAGTGCATTCACAGGATCCCTCCAGTATGAGTCCTTCTTCAGAACGTTCCACAGTGGCTCAGGATGGACTCCTGGAAGCTGGAGCCTTAGTTTGAGGTGGGGGCGATGCATGGGTCCTCACCATCTTCCTACCCACTGGAAATTTCTGGGTGTTTTTCCTCGGCTTTGTAACCCTGGAGCTTTGTAACTTTGATGGTTGTTATTTGGCCTTGTTTACCCAGCATGAGAAGTAACATTCCCAAACCAGAGGAAAACAAGTTACATCACCTGAAGGTTATGGGCCCCAAGGGTCAAAGGCATGTCAGACATCCACCTTGGTTGTTTTCTGTGCCAACTTTCACAGCTGGTGGGGGGAAATTGCAGTTCTAGCTCATGAATCTGGTAAGGCATTCATTCACGTTTATTAATAATTCCTGGAGTACAAATTAAAATATCCGAAGGAAGAAGAAACAGTCAGTTTCAGCTGTGCTGTAAGTTCTGGCTATTTGTATCGGAAAAGATACTGTAGCCAATTACATAGTCTTCGCTGCTGACATAAACAACCTGCCCTGGAATCCCGAGAGGGGCAGGTCCTTTCTATTCTTCAAAGCAGTAGAGGGGTACTGGTCAGAAGCGGGAGTTAATTCCAGTTTTCAAGATGGACAGTGGACATTTTCTAAATCATTGTTGGCTAGTTTTCTTACAAGCAGATACCTAAAAGGATAGCAGGAGAGTCCACGGATGCTAATTTTGATACTTAGGAAAGCGCTGTAGGTAGCTGATTATTTTTACAGTGGCCCTGCATGAACAAAGGTTAAAATACACACATAGGCACATGAATGTCACACACACACACACACACACACACACACACACACACACACTCCTACCCCTGTGTGCTTTTGAATCTACATAAAGCAGTGTTTGCAGTTTGGACTCCTGATATGCAGGTGCAGCATTTGCAGGTACATAACAGTCCTGGTGATGGAGTGTTTAATCAAAAGCGGTGTGGCTGCATCCTTTGTTCTTGTGACGGTTTTCCAAGAATTGGTATAGAGCAGGAAGAACAGAAAAAAAACAGCAGGAGCTGCCTACTCAAAATATTCTTCCTTTTATGTGCCAAAGTGTCATTCTGGAATCTGTCCAGGTTCAGAAAGATGGGTGGTAATTGTGGCCAGAATCCATCCTGTGCTTTCACTGAGGTCTGCTGATCAATGTATGTAACTCTTTACATTCTGGTGCATTCAGAGCTCCTGGTGGTAGAGCTGTCTAGTTAGAAACTGTCTATCCTTTGTGTGAAAGGCTGACCTCTTCAGGAGTTGGGTAGTTAGATGTATGCAGAGTTTGGATCTCACCAAACGAATTCTTAATAGAATTTCTAATTAGTAGGTGTTTGTTTTACGCATGGCTTTATGTTGTATAGGGCATTAAAGCCGGTGCCCTCCTGACGTTCTTGGCATTATGAGAGCGGGAAGCTTGGCTTTTTAACTGGCCTGTAGTGAATCAGCTGGGCTGGCGCTGGGAACTGAGAGAACGAGACGGACTTCCCTCAGCTTCTGCTGACTTACATTCTGGCAGTCAGGTTTTCCAAGAGAAACCTGCTTTTAAGCCATGCCTCCCCTCACCCCCCAACAGTGTATGGTTCACATAAGCTCCCGAGTATTACAGGGAATGTATTTCCTCCCAGGTAGTTCTCTGGCTTTGTTCCAGGGTGGCCATACCCTCCTCGGAACCGTAGGTAGCAGCAGGACTAACAAGGCTCCATTTTCTTTGTCTAAGTGATGATTGCTTTTGTGCTGTGGCTGGGAACATCAAGAGCATGGTGTTCAATGGGTCTGTTCTGTTTTCTTTTAGGCGCTGAAGCAAAATGTCAGTCAGTGTGCACGAGAACCGCAAGTCCAGGGCCAGCAGTGGCTCCATCAATATCTACCTGTTCCATAAATCTTCCTATGCGGACAGTGTCCTCACTCACTTGAACCTTCTGCGCCAGCAGCGGCTCTTCACAGATGTCCTTCTCCATGCGGGGAACAGGACCTTCCCTTGCCACCGGGCGGTGCTGGCTGCCTGCAGCCGCTACTTTGAAGCCATGTTCAGTGGTGGTCTGAAAGAGAGCCAGGACAGCGAAGTCAACTTCGACAACTCCATCCACCCAGAAGTCTTAGAGCTGCTTCTCGACTACGCGTACTCGTCCAGGGTCATCATCAATGAAGAAAATGCTGAGTCGCTCCTGGAAGCCGGCGACATGCTGGAGTTTCAGGACATCAGAGACGCGTGTGCGGAGTTTCTGGAAAAGAACCTGCATCCCACCAACTGCCTGGGCATGCTGCTGCTGTCCGACGCCCACCAGTGCACCAAGCTGTATGAACTCTCCTGGAGAATGTGTCTCAGCAACTTCCAAACCATCCGGAAGAACGAAGATTTCCTCCAGCTGCCCCAGGACATGGTCGTGCAGCTCCTGTCCAGTGAAGAGCTGGAGACAGAAGATGAAAGGCTCGTCTATGAGTCGGCCATGAACTGGATTAGCTATGACCTGAAGAAGCGCTACTGTTACCTCCCAGAGCTGTTGCAGACCGTGAGGCTGGCCCTCCTTCCTGCCATCTATCTCATGGAGAACGTGGCGATGGAAGAACTCATCACCAAGCAGAGGAAGAGTAAGGAGATTGTGGAGGAGGCCATTCGGTGCAAACTGAAAATCTTGCAGAACGATGGCGTGGTGACCAGCCTCTGTGCCCGCCCTCGGAAAACCGGCCATGCCCTCTTCCTCCTGGGAGGACAGACTTTCATGTGTGACAAACTGTACTTGGTAGACCAGAAGGCTAAAGAAATCATTCCCAAGGCTGACATTCCCAGCCCCAGGAAAGAGTTCAGTGCGTGTGCAATTGGCTGCAAAGTGTACATTACTGGGGGGCGGGGCTCTGAAAATGGAGTCTCAAAAGATGTCTGGGTTTATGATACCCTACATGAGGAGTGGTCCAAGGCTGCCCCCATGCTGGTGGCCAGGTTCGGTCATGGATCTGCTGAACTGAAGCATTGCCTGTATGTGGTCGGTGGGCATACAGCAGCAACGGGCTGCCTCCCAGCCTCCCCCTCAGTCTCTCTAAAGCAAGTAGAACATTATGACCCCACGACCAACAAGTGGACCATGGTCGCCCCACTCCGAGAAGGCGTCAGCAATGCTGCTGTAGTGAGTGCCAAACTCAAGCTGTTTGCTTTCGGGGGTACCAGTGTAAGCCATGACAAGCTTCCCAAAGTTCAGTGTTACGATCAGTGTGAGAACAGGTGGACAGTACCGGCCACCTGTCCCCAGCCCTGGCGCTACACAGCAGCAGCTGTGCTGGGGAACCAGATTTTTATTATGGGTGGAGATACAGAGTTCTCTGCCTGCTCTGCTTACAAATTCAACAGTGAGACTTACCAGTGGACCAAGGTGGGAGACGTGACGGCCAAGCGCATGAGCTGCCACGCTGTGGCCTCCGGGAACAAGCTTTATGTCGTCGGAGGGTACTTCGGCATTCAGCGCTGCAAGACTTTGGACTGTTACGATCCGACTTTAGATGTGTGGAACAGCATAACCACGGTCCCGTACTCACTGATTCCTACTGCGTTTGTCAGCACCTGGAAACATCTGCCTTCTTAATGCAGAACATCCTAAAGAAAGCACGCATGAGGTAAGAAGGCATAGTTGGAGATGTAAGCTTGTGTTGGCCAACACTGCAACCTCCTGTCAATGGAAACCAGTGGCTCTCCGCCATCACGGAGCCTCAAAATCTCCCAAAGCGATTTTCAGAAACTGTGCCCCCATTCTAGAGACATTGTTTTATTTGGTCCGGGTGGAATCCAAACATCAGTACTTTAAATGACTTATTTATTTTTTATTTTATATGCATTGGTGTTTTGCCTGCCTGCATGTCTGTGTAAGGGTGTTGGATCCCCTGGAACTTGAGACACAGACAGTTGTGAGCTGTCATGTGGGTGCTGGGAATTGAACCCGGGTCCTCTGGAAGAGCAGCCAGCTCTCTTAACCGCCAAGCCATCTCTCCAGCCCCGCATCAGTACTTTAAAGAAAGTTTTCCAGTTATATCTGACAGGTTGGGAACCCCAGACATCCATTAGTAATTCCAGTTAGTGGTCGTGAAATACTCATTGTGTTCCTAAATAGGACAGGACCATGTGCTTCACTCAAGTATCCTTTTGATGCTCAGAACAACCCCTGGATGTTATTACTAATCTCCCTCTGCATGTGAAAAAACCTGATGCCTATGGAGTCAATTGCCCAATGTCATAGGACAGGACCATGTGCTTCACTCAAGCATCCTTTTGATGCTCAGAACAACCCCTGGATGTAATTACTAATCTCTCTCTACAGGTGAAAAAACCTGATGCCTATGGAGTTTAACTAGTCAATTGCCCAATGTCATAGACCTCAACAAGTGGTCAAGCGAGTCAAGAACTCCGCCAGGGCCGTCTGACTCCAGAGCACAGACGCTTGAGTATGCATTCAAGCTGCTTCCTGATAAACTTGAACTTGATCTTGGTATCATCCCAGGGATACTGGGTTGCTCTTCTGATTTCACTTCTTCAGACCTTTCTGTACTTAATAGGGTTTTAAAAATATTATTGCTTTAAGTTTTTTCTAGTTTATTGACTCCAAAATTGTATGTTCACTTATTTAAAATGCCCTCCCGCCCCCAAGAACCATCTCTTTAGAGCATCTCTTAACTTTGGAGGACAGTCTAGGTTGTTCTCATGAAAGGTGGTAGTTTGTGTAGATAAATTCAGCCACCTAAGCTTCCCTAACTGCATCCTCTTAATCAGTCAGCCTGACCCTGTTGCTGGGACCAACAAAAGTTGTATCCTGTGTCATATACCTGGGTACGCAGTGGTCGTCTTGTGCATATGACACTCTTGGCTCCAGTAATGAATCAGCCTACACAGTTTGGGGTCGCTGTGGCTGCTTGCCTCCTGTGAAGCATCCTCAGCACTGGCCCAGGAATTGCCTCAGCATGTCTGTCTGTCTGTCTTAGCTAGCCTCCTATTGCTGTGATAAACACCATGACCAAAAGCAAGCCGGGCGTATTTCCTCTTACATCTTACCAAGTCACAGTCCCTCACCAAGAGGAGTCAAGGCCAGAACCCAGGGCAGGAACCCTGAAGGCAGGAACTGAAGCAGAGGCTGTGGAGGAGTTCTTCTTACTGACTTGCTCCCTTACCTAGCTTAGCCTGCTTTCAATCCCAGGACCACCTGCCCAGAGGGAGTACCCCCCTTCAGTGGTCTGGGCCCTCCCACATCAATCATTAATCAAGAAACTGTCCAAAGGCATGCCTGTAGGTGGCATTAATTGAGGTTCCCTCCTCTCAAATGACTTTAGCTTCTGTCAGGTTGACAAAAGAAAATAATAACAACAACAAAAATCAAAACCCAAAACTGGCTGAGCAGAGGGCGCTAGGGACATGCCACTTTATTTGGCCGATTGCCGGGCTCACTACTAACTGTTAAGGAATGCCACGGTGGAGGACCGGCAGCGCAGAGTCATTACCAGAGGACTTTGGCTCTGCTTTTCCTAGGGTGTCACACACCTTTCAAGGGGCCTTTGAGAGGAAAAAGGGGGACCTCAGAGTGGTTGTAAGCTCAACAGAGGGGTCTCATCTTATTGGCCTTTCTTTCCTCATGTTGAATAGCTCATTCACAAGCAACTGAAATGGATTTCCCTTTCACATTTATTTCATCATCATTGTTTTCAACCCTTTGGCCGTCTCCTCCTCCAGCCTGTCCTGGCCAGCAGGGCCATGTTCCCTGGGCATGAGATTCCCGTAGAGGATCGGCAGCAGTCAGAAACCTCCCGAGAGGAGAGAGACCTACGGACAGCAGCCCACACCAAACTGGTTTTTGCAGCCTTGCTGGCATCTCAGTAATCCAGAATAAACGAACGTTCTGCAAGTGGTTATTTCATTTGCGATACGGTTGCATGACTCAACCCTCAAGCAGGCCTGGAGAGAGAGAGAGACACTGACTCCTAGGGAAGAGGCGCTAATTAGCAGACGCAAAATGAAGAGTTAGTCCGGCAGCTGACTGGGTGTGCAGTCGACCTGGAAAAGTGGCCAGGGATGGGGGCAGTGTGTTGTCAGACATGGCCATGGGGTGGGTGAAAAGCAAGGCAGACAAGGTGAGGCTGACAGAGAGATCACACGTGTTCTCTGTTCCTTGTGTTAGATCTCTCTGGACTTTGGGTTGTTTTTTTTTGTTGAACGAGTCATTTTAACCACAACGTCCAGAAAAGCGTCCCAATTCAGACAGAGGTGGGTGTTGAAAACAGCCTGGTCTAGCCCAGCACCGGCCTCTATCACCTACAACCGGCTTTTGCTACAGTAAGCCCTTGCTCTGATCTGGCTGGAGCACAGTCTGTGTGTCCTGGGGACATTCCGTACCGTTGATTATCAGCTGTTTATCATTTCTGTTCTTCAGTTTTGGTTCCCTTTCCCAGCCCAGCGTGGATGTGTTAAAAGTATTTGACCCTAACTTGCTTCCGGTCCCCGGGAAACAGAACAAACAAAATGCTGCGGTTACCTGAGAAACAGCAGCCTCCACCCTTGGTACCCTGGACAGGAGAGTCGGGCACAAAAAAAGTCAACTTGATAGGGCCAGCTTGCTGCTTTTCAAGGGTGACACGCGCCCCTGATCAAAGCTACTCTTTCCGTTTCCGGCAGGGAGGATGTTGGTTCAAATTTCTAAAGTTTACTATACACAAGCTGGAGTTAAAAACACTTAAAGCTGGCTGGAATGACATTCAGAGAGGCTCCTTTGGGTGTCGGCACAGACCTCCAGCCTGAGTCCCCTGATTTCCAAATGCTGGTGCAAGATGAATTCATCTAGGCTTAGCAGAAACCTTCCCAGGTCAGAAAACTCACCCGCTCAGGAGATCTTAACTGTCTCCTGCTGTTCATTCCATGGGTGGGAAGACAAAAAGGGAACTATTCTGATTTTCTTGTAATTTTTCGATGTCTTATGGCCCCCACCTGACAGGATGTGGACCTGCATTTGCTTTGTTTCTTCTTTTGGAATCTGCCACCTCTTCATTTCTGTGCGAGTATGCCATGTCTCGAGATGTTAAATATTCCAAGGTGCATTCTTTTGGCCAAATGTGGATAGACAGGTTGCAGGGAGGCAGGGCCGAGGGATGACACCAAGGGCTAAGGAATGTCTTGAAGGCTTGAATCACGCTTAGACAACAGCCAAAAGAAACAAGTGGGAACTGACTCACACTTCTGAACACACACGAGCCAAAGAGAAGAATCTGCCGTTAATGAGTGGTCCTGCAAAACAGTCCCTTTGTCCGTGCTTGTACTAGGGTTCCAGTGAGTAGTGGGGATGCATTTTTTGCTATGGCTGCCTTCGATCTCTGAAAAGTCTGCCTTGGATATTTTTATGATCAGAGGGCCTAGGGGTGCGTCTTCCTCCCTTCATGTCCAAGTGACTGTCACAGTAGCTTTCTTTCCAAGCATTGAAAACGGAAGATGGCCATGTGTAGGCTTGAATTTGAACATACTCATGTTTAAGAAAGGAAGGTCCTTTGGACACAAATTTTTTAAATGCCTTTTATTTTTAATTATTTTTTTAAAATTGTATGTATATTGGTGTTTTGCCTGCATGTTTCTATGTGAATGAGGGTGTTGAATCCCCTGGAACTGGAACTGCCATGTGGGTGTTGGGAATTGAACCTGGGTCCTCTGGAAGAGCAGCCAGTGCTCCAGCCATCTCTCTCGCCGTGGATACCATTGTTTTGTGGGCTGCCCATGGTCATGGTACCAGCTGGCCAAGTGTGCACACTTTCTGTTGAACTTGTAATTCGCACAGTCAGGAGTGCTGTTGCCCAGCTCTGCCCCGAGTCTAAATTTTTCTAAATTGTGTGCTTATTAGCAAATGTCTTAAACCGTGACCTCTCACAAATCCTTCATGCCTTTGTGTTTTCGTTCTGTTTTTTTTTCTAGCTCACCCCGACACACGGTGAGACGATGTGAGGTTTCTGCTGTGGAGAAGCCAAGTTTAATGAAGAGAAAGAAACCCAGGAGAAGTTGCTACAAGACTCCTCAAATACCATCGGCTGCACCTTGTGAACACTCTTTTAAGTGGACATGAAGGAAGGGGTGGGGGAGGGGGGTGGGATTTTTCCAATGCCAGTAGCACATGGTTTAAATATGAATGACAGAGCTTGTGATCTAGTCCTTGTCTGGTAATTGTGGATTAATGTCAGCGTTAATCAGCCCCTCAGAGGGAGAGAAAAGCTGGCCTTTTCCCTTGCTGTAGCTCATTCAGCGTTTGATTTCCATGGCTCCACCGTTTATATGCAGGATTTGAAATGGTTGTCAGCTTCCTCCGAGGACTGAGCTTGAAGCCTCCATGGCCAGCTGCTGTTGGAGACGCAAAGCCAAGCGTGGGTCAGGAGGGAAGCTGGCCTGGCCGACGGAAGAATGGGCACCCCAGGACTCTCCACTCATCTCAAAGGGGTTGCGGTCCCCCGGGAACGCCTCTGAACAATGGGGACATTGTTGGTAGCCGATTGGTAGATGCTCTTTGCTATTTATAAGTGACTTTAAACCTTCTCTTGGCTGTTAAGAAATGTGTTCTAGATTTAGCTATTTATTGTTTGCGGCCTGCATGCTGAAACAGTGCTTACGTTGTCTTCACGTGTATGGGCGTGTGTGGATGGTCGTATGTTTTGCACATTTTGTAGCTGTTGACGTGCTTTGCTGCACAAAAAGAAAAAAAATGAAAACTTTGGGGCTATAATTTGGAGGATAAGTAGAGGGTGGGTGGGGGAGGGGTGCATTTTTGAAATGTCGGGACGGAGACAGATTCCAAGATGGAAACTTAAATTACATCCCAGAAGCAGAGAAACCACAAAGTCACCGTAACTAGACCACCCTTTACTGAGGTTCATGGTCACACTGATGGCGGGTCTCCTAAGAGCAGGGTATTGGTCTGTCCTCCTTCCTCCTGTCTGTCTGACTTACCTAACTTTGGTCTCGGCTGCTGACACTTGGAAAGGACCAAATTACTTTATAGTATTTCCCCGTTTGTGTAATATCCTGAAACCCTGGGAGGTTCTGCAGAATCGTTCTGTATATAGGGCACAGGTGAAGACATTGTCTAAAGTTTATTTATTTATCTATTTATTTACTCTAGGTGAATAACAACACCAATGGGGAAAAACTAAAATGTGTCAGATGTAAACAAATCCACTGACCACATTGCTTGGCCTGCGCGTGGCTCTTGGACCTTGATTGGAGAGTGCTCGAGACTCTCCCAGAAAAACATCCATTTTGATACAAAGTACACTTTCGTGTTCACCCTTAGATACATGTTGAAAGAGCTCTTTGGTACACAGAAGTGATGTTTGGTCACACTTTGGTGCCAAGGATTGTAAACGGTGGCCTGTGGAGAGGTCTTCCCGTCCTGTTGGATCAATTGTGAATACATTCTTTGCTCGTCTGAGTGCTTGTTTACTAAACGTGTTAGTGCTAGACCACAGTGAGCCCCCCGGGGTGTCTGGGGGAGACCAGAACTTGCAACTCTGCCTGCTTGATCCATATTTCTCACAGTGCTGTATTTAAAAAAAAATAGGATTTAAGACGGATAACCACCTTTACGTTGTGAGTGTGTTTGCCTTGTCTAATGACAGATAATTCCATAACATTTCTCTCCACCTTAGTACTTTAGGTTAATTGTACATGTCTGTCTGTGCCATGAGTAAGTGGACTGTAGTCGGACCAAAATAAAACAAATGAGCCGTTGGAATGAAAGCTTCCAGATCGTTCCAGCAGTCAGTTTCTGGTCCCTAGATATATTTCTAAGCAGTGTAAGTGTCTGATTGGACCCTGGTGGCCTGATCAGTCTCCGCCCTTTAGCTGTCCCAGCTCCGTAGGTAGTTTACGATGCAAATCTGTCTCAAGATCTGCACGTCACTGCTGCTTCTGAGAGCAGGAAGAATTTTCTGCAGCTGTTTCAAAGTTGTGGCCTGTCCTTGAATCTTCTATTAATTACTGTGTGAGCCAGAGGGGGCTGCACCGCAAGGGTGGGCCCTGGCTGGCAAGGGGGACCTTTCTAGACTCCAGCTCTTTTAATTGATGTGGCCATTTGGGCTTGCTACTTGACGGTCCTCACCCTGTGAACCGTCCCACACTTTGAAGCCAATACGATTCACAGCACAGTCCACACAAAAACCCTGGCGCAAGACGGGGGAGGTTCCTCTCATTTGGTGAGCTGGTTGCCGTGGAAACGGATAACAAAGGTCAGCCTTCCACTTCTGGTATAATGGTGGGGCCCCTTTTCTCAGGCTTGACACCTGTCTGAGTGAGAGTGATGAGGGCCGGATAAAACCCCTGTCTTGGCTGTTGACTATGTGGTTCACGTACCAAACCCTGTAGAAGTTAGAAAATGTTGGTGTTTGTATGTTCTCGTTTGCTACTACTACACTTTTGACGTTTTGTAAAACTGTTATTTTTTTTTTCACGATGTGAAACTGAAGGTCAATAAATTATTAGAGATTTTCTCTTCATTGTGTGAGTTTTTATTTGACAGCAACGCCATTTTAAACACTGGAAGTGTTGTTTTCTCATTTAATCAGTGATTTCAAGTGTTCTCTGAATGTTTCACCATTCGGCACCTACGTTTATGAAAGTAGTTTTGCAAATCCTTGATATCTCTCTCTCTCTCCCTCCCCCTCTCCCTTCCCCTTTACAACCCTAGCTGGCTTGTAAACTCTCAAATGGAGACAAGGCTGGCCTTGAACTCCACTCCTGTCTCTGCCCCTGAGTGCTGGGATGACGCTTAGAATCTATCATTATCAATTCCATGTCACTCATAACCTGAAATGCACTGTGCATTCTTTGTATTGGAATCTAGACTTGGTTTCTTGGTGTGTTGTCCTTTGTGAGGGAACTCTTAACAGCAAGGGTTGGAGCCCGGTCCTCCCTCTCCGCTGACACGGACTGAAGAGTGTATCCATCCGTCTCTGTGAGGGGAGAGAAAGCACCGTGTGACCCGCTGGCACACTTGGCTCGTCTGTGTTGACAGCTGGTCCTGTGTGGAGCCAGATGAAGCCTCCAGCCCTCACTTCACAGTGGCTTCATGTCACACGGATGCTCCTTTATCACTTGGGCCAGGCCCCTGATTGTCCCCGTGTGCAGAGCAATGTTGAGCACAGTCTTCCTGGGCCAGAAACTAAATGCTACCTAATTGGGACTCTAGGAGTCTCACGAGCAGACAGACACAATGCAGTTACGACTGCTGGATCTTGACCAAGGTGCCAGCAAAGGCCTTGAGCTGACAGAAGGCTCAGTTGGTTCCATGCTGGGTGAGGCTGGGGGACAGCCAAGCTTTTGGGAACGCATGTCCGAGCCTTCAGATTCCTAAGGCACAGTGTGTATGACCCATGGAAACCCAGTGGTTAAAACAAGTATGACAGCAGATGACAGGGAGGAGGGAAAGCTGGCACAAGCTGATGCGTGAGACTTGGAAGAGTAGAGAATGGTCGCTATGGAGATGGTTATGGACAGAACTTTTAAAATTGTGTGTGTGCGAGTTCGTGTGCACATGCCTGCAATATGCACGTGAGTGTGCATGTGTCGGGAGGACAGAGGATAACCTCAGGTGTTGATCCACATGTGGCATCCACTTTATTTTTTCAGATGGTCTCTCCCTGGCCTGCGATTGACTAGGCTAGGTTGGCTGTCCAGTGAGCTCCAGGGATCTGCCTGTCTCTGCCTCCCCAGGTCTGGGATTACAAGCACGTACTACCGTACCTGACTTTGAAGTGGGTTCTGGGCATGGAACTCGGACCCCTGTGCTTGTGTGTCCCCAGCCCCGGACAGATTTTTTGTTGTACCTCTACTAGGACATGTGGACGGGTAACAAAGATACTTCATCTTACTTAATTTTACTCTGCCCTCGGTCACCAGAATCAGCTCAGTCACAACAGTTTGAGCAGCTTCTGGATGCGTGACAGCCGTCTGCCCATAGTGGTGATGGCATGTCACCACCGCAGGCTGTCAAGAATCTGACGTGCTTCTCTCTACTCTGCCTTCCTGGGCTTGGGACTTAGTTCTCGAGATCACTGGATGGCAGCTATATCTCACGGCATCATACCTGCTTTCTGGGGATTCAGAGTGGGGTTAAGGGAGAAAAGGCATGCCTGAGCGATGTTTCCTTTTTCTTGGGATAGTAATAGTTTGCTTAATAGGCTCATATGGACACTTTTGATCTCTTGGTAAGAACTAGGTCACGCCGGGCGGTGGTGGCGCACGCCTTTAATCCCAGCACTCGGGAGGCAGAGCCAGGCGGATCTCTGTGAGTTCGAGGCCAGCCTGGTCTCCAAAGCGAGTTCCAGGAAAGGCGCAAAGCTACACAGAGAAACCCTGTCTCGAAAAACCAAAAAAAAAAAAAAAAAAAAAAAAAAAAAAAACTAGGTCACATGACCTTACTAAGATAGATGAATGGCTAGGGAGAGAAACCTTTTCCAGTGAGTCAATTGCACTAGCTGATTTCACCAGTAAGGGGGAAGAGAGAGAACTGATGATTGATGAGCCCAGGTTGCCCACTGTGGTGGGTGGGGTTGCCTAGCACAGTGAATAAGCAGTCGTTCATTGTAAATGACAGCTCTGTAGATATGCTGTGTCTGGGTGCCATGATGACCTGAAGATACAGCTGGGGATGTGCTTGACAGGCACTGAGCCACAACAGACTTAGATACACACAGTCATTTCTCATCATCTCTTGGTTCCTTCATCCTAAGGTAAGCATGACCAACACTCACAAATAGCAAAGCCTGGCAATATAATGAATTTAAGAAAAGCACCAAGCTCATGCCAGGCACATAGTAGGTTCTCAGTGGCGTCCAGTTGTCGCTTTATAACACCTGGGAGAAATACATGAATGGATCTCAATGTTAGTGTTTGCCCTGGCTGGTGGGTGTGGGGCTCCATGCTCCTACGGTCACGGTTCATCAGCACAGCCACCCTCCAGAGTAGCCTCTGTGATCACCCCTGCACCCCCAACCTGGTAAACAGGGAGCAGGTTTGGAGTGATTATATAACTTGTCCGAAGCGATAGGGGCACTGGGTTTCCAGGCAAGCCCTCTGAACTGTCCCGTAGGCCCAGGAATGTGGAGGGAAGTGACCCATGGGGCTGAGTCTAATAATAGTGGGAACTCGAGGCTGACTTGATCCATTGTGTCCTGAAGATTGGGCTTGGTGAGATAGTTGAGGAGGCCAGCAGCAGCTGAGCCTGCCTGGGCATGAGGATGAGGAAGTGGATGGGAGATGTCTGCGCCATGTCTCAAAAGAATCCTGACGGTGGATGCCCAGAGACAAGGTTGCAGAGGAGAGGGAGTGTAAGTGGAACCTGTAGGAGGCTGGTGTGTATACTCGGTCATTTACTGAGCTCCAGTACCCTCACCGTTGGTGCATTCCTGTTTGTAAAATATTTACTGAATGCATGAGTATGCAAATGGAACATGGCCTGATCATGGGGGTGGGGGGTGTGTCCAGAAAGCCAAATAACCCCCGTAAAAAGTAGCCTCAAATGCTGCTGGAGAGAGAGCTCAGTTGGTAAAGTGTTAGCTGTGCTAGCCGAGTTCAATCCCCAGTACTCAAGTAAGGGGTACCGGATGTGCTAGCCAGTGCTGGGGAGGTGGAGACAGGAGGATCCCTGGGACTTGCTGGTCATCAGCCTAGCACACTTGGCAAGCGCCAGGCTAGTTAGAGATGTAGCTCAAAAAGCAAGGATGAATGCTCATGAGGAATTACACCGTGGTTATTCTCTGGCCTACACACACAGCCTCAGATGGCCAGTACTTGATTAATAACTGACAGCTTCCAAAGTTTTCATCTTTCAGATAAACCAAAGAAAGCCAAATGCATGTTCTTAACCAATCACCGCCACAGGATGCTGGCTGCCATAGTGGACCCACCTGCTGCCTCCCAAAGCCCCTGGGCTCCATTCAACCCCAGCCTTTCCCTTCCCCCTCAATAAAGCCTTCCCACTCGGCTTCCTTTGAGTTTCTGCCAGTGGCAGTGGCCTGCTCCCTTGCTGTGTGTCACAGCTCTGAAAGAGCTGTGGCTGCCTGCTCTCATTTCACTGGCTGTTTTTTTTTTTTTTTCCCTATAGACAAATGTTTGTTCATTAAAATAAGTAAATATCTCAATAGAGGAGTTCCCAGAATAGAAATGAGGACCCAACTGTGGGTTCCGGACAAGCTAAGGAGTTCCAAAGGTTGCTGCTCTTGTCCTACGTGTCTGGGTATATGAAGTGTACACAATTCCTACAGCCTGAGAAAAAGGGATTGTAAGTCAGTGGGGTTGAGAGAAGGGCATCTGGCCTGGCACAAGGAGAGCAGTTGCTTTGTTTGGGAGTGTTTTTGAATAAAGTGTGAATACAAATAAGTTTTACAGCCACATTCATGGTGCGCATGGATGTCTGAATAAATGCAAAAACTTAGCAGCTAATTCCTGGTCTGGCCTGTCGCAAATCTTAAGTGCTTTGCCTGTCTGACACGTACTCAGACTTAGCCATCTGTCCTGCACTTGAATTTAATCAGAGACAATGAATTTCAGAGCTCTGTCCTTTGTCAGACTTTGGAAAACTCTAGGTTCAAGACCTAACTTTCAGAGGGTGGGAGGACTGTACACCTCGGCATGACGGAATTAAAAGCAATTTTACTAAGTAAATGGTAAATCCACCACAGTCATGTCCAGTTCCACTTTACAGCCCAGCTTGCTTTGTGAGTCTTCAGAAACCAAAGGAGACAAAGTTTCTGTCTTGCTCTCTAGTCCCGTTTCCTTGGCAACCATAATCTTCCTCTCTGCTAGATGGGTGGCGGCGGAGGTTGGGGAGAGGCTGTTGGGGTTTCCACCAGTCTTTCACTAATCCTTGGCTGCGTTATCAGATGATTCGCTTTGTTACAAGTTATCTGACAACTACTTGTGAGAGTGTTGGGAGGTGGACTGGCTGAGACCCACCCCCACCCCCCACCCGGGAGAGGTGCTCATACTGTGACCACAGAGATGAGCCCAGTCTCTTGGTAGACATGGCAAAGCCAAGTGCCAAGAACAGTGTCTGCTCCCTCTGGGACTGCCCTGGGTGCACAGCAGGCCTTAACTGCCTTGTTTTTTAGCCCCTGCGGATGCTCTGGCGAGGGGAACTGTTCCGAGAGAACCTAGGGATTTTGAAGTAATTGGTATATTTGAAGGGCAGAAAGGGAAAGAGAAGAGCAGAAGAAAGCTTGGGGGTACGTGTCCGTGGGTGGCAGTCCTCTTGAGACGCTTTTCTGGCATTTTCTGAGCGTTCACCTATTCAAGAGACAGAGCAAGAGTCAACCAGCACCCTTGTTCAGAATAGAAATAACTACAGTGTGTATGAGGTCTACCAGTCAATCCACAGACAGAATTTTTTTTTTCCTTAAAATATCTCAATTAAAAGGGTTCACAGAAATGAAGTGTCTACGAGCCAGGCCATTCTGAAGATAGGAAGGGGTAAGCGCAGGGTTTGGGTACCAAGACA